TCGTTATGCATATGTGTGTATGCATGTATGTTTGTATGTATATAAGCAAGTAAACAAGGAGTTGACTCGCTGACGCACTGATTCGCTCAGCCATGGCATATTCATGATTCGAAAGCAATTTAATTAGATGCCAACCGAAATTCGATGAAATTCCTTTGTGCGTGCCACAAATGCAACGCAAGAACAAAAGGGAGCAAAGAAAAGTTAGGAAAAATCAAAAAAAAAAAAAATAAATAAAAAAGTAAAAAAATAAAAAAAAAACATTTACAAATGCATACAACCAACTGCGAGTGCAACTGACAACCAACAGAAAAACATTTGTGTCTTTATCGAATTTAGTTGGCAGCACGTTGACAACGCGCTAACACTAAATACACTTACCACATACATTTATACTTGCAAACATACACGTGTATGTATGTGCTTACGCTTGCGGCGATGGTTTTATCATTGCTTTTTCGTAGTTCTTAGCCCGCTCTTTGCTCATCTTACAATTTTACAGTTGTGCTGCAGCACATGCAGTCAGGCTATTTTTAATTATTGCAAACAATTTTTTTTTTTTTCATCATTTTCATTTGGGTTTTTTTTTTGTATTTTTATTTTTATTTTAATTTCTTTTTATTTTTATTTTTTTTTAAATTTTTTTTTTTAAATGTTAATTTTAAATTTAAAAGTCGAACAACTGCACCAACATCGTCACTAACATCGTCAATAACATCGTTGGCGTCGCTCTCAGCCGTGATCTGCCAGCCACTGCTGCGCTGCTGTAGCGGTTGCGGTCGACCGACGCGCATACCTTCAATGAAAGGTGCACGAAGTGCAACCAAAGGCATTCAACCAATGCCTTAGCGGTGCAGCAAGATCTTACTTTCTTTTATAGTAAGACAAATACAAATGTATGTACATATGAATGTATGTATGTACATATACAAATATACAAAAATATTTATTAATGCACTCTTGTTGCGGCATAGGCGTTTGTGTGTGGTCCTTGTTGAGAGATAAACTCATCAAGTGCGCTTATCAGATACGCTATAAATTACAGGTAACGCCCCCTAAAAAGGACACACAAACACATATACACACACATGCAAGCGTTTACATACATACATACGTACATACATGCATATGCAATCATGAATATTTGCTTTGTGTGACAAACTCAACACAGGACACATTCGTATACGCACCACAGGATATCTTAATTAAGTCTCATACAGCCATGCTTACATACATACATACACTCAAATGCACGTGCATAGTTTAGAGTAAAAGAAAGAAGATTTCTTGGCGACAAGCCGCAGTGAAATTTATTTTTTCAGGTAGCAATTGATTCCTCATTACAGGCACTGCGGTAGTTTGATTATGTTAATTGATAAAAAAAAGAGTGGTAAAAAAAGATATTAATTAAAATTAAAAAAATATTTTAAAAAAAATCACATATTTTTATGATTCAGTAAAAAATTGTTCCCATATTAAATATAATTTTTGGCTAGCAGTACTTGCTATCATGCCGAACAACCTGGATTCGACTACTAGTCAGAAAAGATATCAAAAGAAAAATTCTTATCGCCGAGAATCACCTCGGCGGTATAAATAATAGTAGGTCTAGTAAAAAGTAATCCATTATTTTTTACACTAGATAGTGCTGTATTGATCTGTATACCGCGTGCGATGGGATTACTCTAGAAGGTCATTTGTCGAAAATGTCGATAAAAAACTGGCAAACGTCGAGTCTGGCCGACATTCTCGCCGGATTACCCAGCAGCTAAACATTGGAGATAAAACAGTCTGGAACCACTTGAGACCTGGATACACAAAGAAGCTCATTGTGAGGCTGCCAAGTGCGTTAACGGGAAAAAAATCTCATGGATCGAATTTTCATATGTGTGATCGTTACCGAATTGTAAAAAATGATTATTACGTTGAAAACGATCGTGCTCGAAGGCCAGTGAGCCGGCACAAACGGCTTCCAAGCCAGTATTGATTAGCAGGAAGGTTTTGCTGTGCCTTTTGTGGGATTGACAAGAAATTGAGACGCTCACCTACGGTCAACCTCTTAATTCGGGCCTGTACTATCAGCAATTGGACCGTCTGAAAGAATCAAACGCCCAGAAACGCCCAGTTTTGGCCAGCAAGTGTGAAATTATTTTTTCTCTGGACAACGTCGGACCACAGCCATCGATAGTGATATGCCAAAAGCTCCGCGAACTGGGCTGAGAGAAGCTTGTGAAAATCGATTGTACAAATTTTCCTCCCATAGAGATAAGGGTTTCGATAAAAAAAAAAACAAAAAAGACACAACAACGTGTGGCTGGGTCAGCCGGTTGGGTATAAAATCCCCATAACTCAATATGGCCGAACGGTTTCATGTACCTCTTGCTAATTCTGATTCTCTGACTACAAGAGAATACTGCAAATCGATGACGTTGTCTACTCGTATATTCGAAAAACACATATACATATGTACAGTGAAACTTCCCGCAAGCGGACACCAAGGTAACCAGATTTTTTGCCCGGTCAATAGAGATGCCCCTTTATCAGAAGTGAATTTGTATGGGGAAAAAGTTGAAAGGACTTGAAAAAGTGTCCGCATAATTATTGCCCGTTAAGGGAAGTTTCACTGTATTTTAATAACCCTCAAACCGATTTTCTACCACTAAAAATGGTCTTATTGAACAGCTTAGACCTCGACACTGGTCTACTCTCGCCGATAATCCAGACGTCTTCCATCGATACTGGTCGAAAACGAATGGTGTGACACTTGATTAAAAAAAATTCCAATAAAGAAGTCTCCAAGTAGTAGACAACATAAAAAAAAATAGTTTTCAACCAAACTTCACCACACTCATACCAAGAGCTTTTGATATATTCGAATTTTCGCTAATTTTTATGTTAATAATTTATCATCTCAAGTTGGAAAAAGTTTAGCCGATCTTCTAAATACTGCTTGCACATTTCAAAATTCATTAGCTTCACTAATTTTGTCTGATAACATTGCATGAACTGAACGCTGTGTGTCAAATGAATCAATTTTATTGGCACCCTGTGGCGCTGTCAGTTGAGTGACAGTTTCAAGTGAAACGTCAGCAGCGCTGCAATGCACAAATATTTTTTTATTATGCACATAAGTTTTTGTACATGTTATTTTTATTGTTTTTGGTTTTTTTTGTTTGTTTGTAAGTTTTATTACCATAACATTTGTGGTAATGAGTCAAAACACGCTGATGAACAAGCAAAAAAATATGCAAACGAGCATTTTAAGGGCAAACAAAGTGAGACGTGAAACACGTGAAAGTAAAAGCACGTAAAGAGTAGAAATAAAATGTTATCAAGAAGCGAAATGAGACGTTGTTGAAAGACACCAAAAAAAAAAAAAAAAGACAAGTCATGTGCTTCTTAAGACAACGCGTTTATCTTCATTAAATGCGGTAATTAATTTCACAAAATCGAAAAGAACAAGCAGCGAGTGTCAGGCACTGACAGCAGCGCGACAACAGCGGCAGCGACGGCTGCAACAACGCCAACAAGCCTTGACTAATTTATGAAGCTATTGTATGCGGTAGCAAAAATGTTGTTTTTGTTTTTTTTTCTGTTGCCAAAAAATTAAATGAAACAACAAGTACAAGTTGCTTGCAAAAATATTGAGACATCAAACTGGTGGGGAAGAAAAACAATGATTTGAATTAAAACTCGTGTTAATTTCTTGTACACACTCATAATGACATGGCATTTATGTATGTAAGCACATACATACATACGAATGTGCGTGCGTTTGTACGCAAGATTTGCATGAAGACGCCAGTACTCCGCTCGCGGGGGTTGACAAGTGCCAAAATACTTGAAAAGTGGAGTTTCTTTAAAACGCTTTAATCACATAATCATTCCCCTTTCACAGCGCACCGTACGTGGAGGCGAACTGTTTGTACATACATATGTATGTATGTATATAGAAGGCGCGTCGTGTTTTGCGCCATTGCAGTGACAGTTACATGACAGCAGCCGCTTTTTGATCATCACAAAAGCAACAACAAATAACCACATCAACATACACACACACACACATATGCACATATGTTTAATCATACAAACGCAATGACATTCGTCCGTGGCGCATTATAAAAGGCATCATTAGTCATGTAAATCAAAGTGGCGAAATTGGTGTGCGAGCGTTGATTTCTGGTTGACTATGCAGCCAACCCACCAGCTAAATACCGATATACCTACTCGTACATACATATGTACATAGAGAGTGGTGGCACTTTCACAACTGCAGCACCAGAAAGTGTTAATAATCAAGTATGATTTTCACTGAAAAAAAAAAATTTTAACACAAGAGAAAACGAGAGCTAAAGCATATAGTAATTATATACATATATACATATGTATGTACAAATATTTAGTATAAAAAAAAAACAATACATAAATGTCTACGAACACACCTTTGTTGCACATGCTTGCATACGCATACATATGTATGTATGTATTTTAGTGTGATTTCTTGGAAAAGACTGCATTTGGTAGTGTTTTATTATTTGCAACACCACATTACAACATCTTCAATCAACCAGTCCAAATATGCATAAACTTGTATGCAACTGGGTACGAATATGTAACTGAGTACGAATATGTAGTGCCATATAATTATACATTTCTAAGCAAATATGTATGTAGGCATGCAATTTTTTTTAATTTTTTTTGTAATTTTTTTCTTGTTATTTTTTTATATTTATTTTTTAATTTTTTTTAAAATTTTTTTTTTTATTTTTTATGTATTTATTTTATTTTTTTTTTTTGTATTTTTTCAATTTTTTTGAATTTTTTGTAATTTTTTAAATTTTTTGTTGTCTCTTTTGAATTTTTTTTTGTCTTTTTTGTTGTATTTTTTTTTTGTATTTTTTTTGTATTTTTTTTATATTTTTTTTGTATTTTTTTGTTGTCTTTTTTTTGTAATTTTTTTCCGAAATTATTTTGATTTGCATTTAACTACGTGAACTCACCTTTGCTGTCCTTATTGTTGAAACTGAGCGCTCGCGAAAAGTGCTCATCCACCACACTGGCCGTATCGCCGGAATAGTTTGTGAATACGACGCAGGTGGCTGATAAATATTGTGCTCTGCCCTGACCATTGACATTCGATGTATCCAGTGGTAGGGGCATTTCCTTGGCCTGAGCTCCATGTAAATTGTGACGAGGTGAATCAGGACTTGATGAACAGGAGGACTCGTTGTGATGTGAACCCACTAGGCGTGCTGTGAATAAGAGGAAGAGAGAAAGAGCAGGAGGAATGATTATTATTATATATAATTAAGAAAAAATTAGTTAAAATAAATAAAAAAATTATGAAAAAATAATTAATTCAGAAAGATAGTTTCAAAAATTAAAAAAAAAAAGCTTGTGATTGCGGTCGGCTCTCGGCAGGTAGAACGTCAAGCTCTCTGAATGGTCATGAAACAAAAACCGCATAATTTCTGACCACGAAAAAGTTGAAAACCCGTCTTCAAGGCCGTTTTGAAAATGGTGAAGAGCTACGCGGACAGATCAAAAAAGTAGGTACAAATATTAGACTGATGTTGTACATCGAAGTCGAGCCCCCGGTCGGACTAGCACGCTTACTAGCAAGCGGAAGAAATGTAAAAACTTCTCTCTTTCCTCAACTTGGCTAGAACTCCAGTAGCATCTTCTGAAATGGGCTACTAGCTTTTTTTACTTGCCAACCTATAAGCTGTCCAACACCGCTTAGGAGCAGGCAAAGCTAGTTTTAATCACCGGGGTCATCTTATGAGAGGTCCGGGAAACGAATAGTTTCGTCGGTCTGGGACCAGAGGGAAAGTGGGCTAACCCCTTTAGGTTTTAGGTGATATGCAAAGAGGTGAGCTCTTCGGTAGCAGCAGGTAATAGAAACCGAGACCGTCATTCACTGGAATAGAGTTCTTGTAGGTATTGCTGGACTCTCGGCGGTAAGGCGTCCAAATAGAAGCTACGTAATTTACGATCGGCCTGCATTTTTTTTGTAGCTGACAACGTTTGTTGGTCTGTTCTCCAAGTGCTTGCAGCTAATGCGGCTCTGTAGTTCGACGTAGTGAAGGACTGCAGGCTGTCAAATGTAACTTCCAGTAACTTTGGGCTGTTAGTTGTCGGAATTTTTACGCCAACGACTTTCACATCGAACTCGCGGCTGGTGGAAAGGACCGACGAGGGTGACCCGAAGATGAGTTTTCTAATTACGGTCGATAAACGGCAGTGAATGATAAGCCCTCCGGATATGTTAATGACATGAAATAATGGCTTCTAATAAAAAAAAATCCGCTCGAGAGCGGCTTAGAATAAACTATGCGTATCTTCAATTGTTGGAAAAAAAAATCAAGGCGCAAAACCACAAATTGGAGGAGGGGCTCGGCCGAAAATCGCTTCAGCGGTTATAATATATACAAGAGTATATTTACATACATATATGGGTAGAAACTGAAAGTGGCTTAATAAAATCCCGGAAAACTGTCTAAAATTGTTTGAAGTCTATTTAAAGCAGACTCCAACGCCAACGACTCAACACAACCAACTGACTAAAAAAAGAAAAGAAAAAAAATGTTTGCCAACAAATTTAGTTATAAATATAAAATTTTTCCAATTTTTTACATTTTTTACATTTTTTCCAACACTTCCTTACACTGTGCGCCGGGATGCTCACGCCTAAATGTTTAGATATGTATGTATATAGATACATCAATATTTTGCAACTATGTAGCCAAATTGCCAACAAAATGAAATTAATGGCTGTGAGAGTTAATGACAATGAAAAATCTCAAAAATTTTTTGCAAATTAATTACGAAGAGCAAAAACAACAACAACAACAACAACAACAACGGTTTTATCATTATAGCGCGCGCGCATTCAGCCGTCAAATCATACAGCAGCACCTATACATATTTACATACAAGCATATGTATATGGAGTAAAATATATTAAAAATTCGTCTGCGGAATTTAAAAAATTCAGATGGACTCGACTTGACTTAAGACGTAGATATGTAAGGCGCAAAGTAAGTAGCGCGATGAAAACGCTCCAACAAAACGACAAAGCGCTATACGACGCAACGGCAACGTAAGGCGACGCGACGCACCAAAGATTGCGCAACCGCATTCCGATCGAGGCGCAACGCGGCTACTGGAATTCACTGCCGACACCTGCCCGCCAACTAAACACTATTACGGTGAATTTGTATTTGTTGTTTGTACGAATGTGCCTATGTCTGAACATATGTATGTATGTATGTGCATAAAATGGCATATATGTACGTGCAGGTTAGGTTAAACGCTTGCAGAGAAATGAATAAAAAAAAGAAAAAATTAAAAATTAAAAATGATAAATATTCGTGGTGAATTGTAAAAATATGCGTAAAATTCGCAAAGAACGATTAGATGTCGCATAAATTTTGTGCTCATAAAAATTCTATGGCGAATGCCAAAATGAAATGAAATTTAAATATTTTTCAATGTCATACTTTAGCATATATAGATATGTACAAATGTATGTGTATTTACATTCAAATTGCGAGCAGATAAATACCCTACAAAGAGGGTATTTATATATATATATATATATTTTTTTTTTTTTGACATTAATTATTATTTTTTAATTATTTAATTTTAATTTTAGATATGCCGCAGCTATTTTTATTTTATTTTAATTTAATTTTTTTTCCTTTTATTAAAATTTTCAAACTCACCTTCAGCTTCACTACGTGGCACTCCCAGATCTTCTTCTTTGGTATGCGCTCTACTATGTTGTTGTATCGCATTATTAACCGCTATGCTACTACTGCCGCCACCGCCAACGTTAACGCCAACGCCACCACCGCCGCCGCCGCTGCCACCAAGTACTACGCCACTAGCACCGCCGATCACAGAACTACCAATACCACCACTAACACCAGCACCACTAAGATTTCCACCACCACCACCTCCGCCACCTGGCACACCACCACCGCCCACCGTTCCACTGCCGCTCAATTGCAGATTTGTCGTTGCCGCTATACTCGCCGATTGATTTACGCTTTGCGCTGCCACGGCGACCACTGCGGCGGCTGTGTTGTGTGCCGCTGCTACTGCTGCCGCGGCGGCATTCGCATTCACCGCCGGTGGTAATATGGGACTGCAGGGTGAATGCGAGCTGCCAGAAGCACTGGATGAGGCCAATTGCACACCGGATGATGAGTATAGATCCTGATTAAACTGTAGGCGATGAGAAGAGTAGAGAAGAGAGAATTAAAATGTTAGCAAATAATAATGGTAGAATGTGGTAATTCAAGTAATTTTGTCTAATATAAAATCAAAAAGAATGGAAATATTGTACTAGTCGAGAAATGAGTAAGTTTCGTAAGAAATTTCACTGTGTGTACTCGCACACTAACAAGGACAGATCTCTCATTCCACCGACTTCGCTTTAAAGGGAATTAAATTTCAAGACATTGGCATAAGTTGGCTGCGATTTGTGATGTGTGTCTTGATGTTCTTTCCAACAAATGGATGTACCTACCGCGCCGTCTCTGAACGATCGATCGTTTTTTGAGGAGCTTTTAATTCATGTTGATGATGCTGGATATTTCCATCCCATCAGTTTGATGTTGGTCGGGCTGGAACTGGAACATAGGCCATCCGAACAGCATTATCTAATATAAAACTCAACTATTGAAGCCGCCGGCAGCCACCATTCAACTTTTTTTCGGCCGAGTATGTTCTGGACGAACATTAAATGCCCTGTTTGGTGATGACGTCCGTGAAAACGGGCATGCAAATACATATTATATATAGCAGTATACGTAGGGTCTTAACTTCTATCTCTCTTTTCATCTATAAAATCAGGTAGTCAAACGGAAGTACTAGGCTTATAAACAGACTGTAATGCCGAAATAAATATATACGCCAACAATTGTAGAAAGTTCAACTGGAAAGCTGGTAAGCTGGACATCTTTATAGTCTGAATACCCGGCTTGGAATGGAACAGATGGGAATTCATCATCGGTACTTCTCCTTCATAACAATTGCTGACTAGGAGGTGTTGAAGAAACAATAACGTATTCACTCTGCAAGTGCCCAGCTCTCTCACAAATTCAACATATAACATAATCCATCAGTTACCAATTGTGACGAAGCCTGGCCTATGGCTTGAAGACTTTGATGGCAAATGGTGTAGGCCAATGCAGAGTATGTGCCGGAAACTAAGTGTAATAGTTGATTCTCAGGAAACATTCAGTTTCCAGAGCACTGCAGTATTTTCTAGGCGAAGGTCTTCGCTATAAACAAAGGTGTTTCGAGAGTAAGGAACGCAGAAAACCAACTACAAAATATCAATACCCTCATCGCAATAAAATCTTCAAAGTTTTAGCCGGCAGCAACTGAGGAAAAGACAAAGAAACCCTTCTGGCAAAGCGTCCAGTCGCAAACTACGTTGCACCGATTTGGGCACCGGGGACTAACGAGACGCAGTTGAAGGAGCTAAAGACCTACCAAAAATGCTACGAGTTAAAGAGCGTAATGCTTTGCAGTGTAAGCAATTTCTACTGGAATGCTGCCGCAGGGTGAACCCCAACAGACATCGAATAGAGGCTGAACCTCCACTCAGGCACAAGAGAAACGGTGTACTAGACAGGAAGTACATAATCCAGCAACATGTGCAACAACCGCTGGACAGTACGGCGTACAGACAGGCACTAAGTGCCATTCACCAGGAGCCAGTCAATGCCCGTGAATGGTGTCCTCGGAGGCAAGTCTCCACCTATAGCAGATGAGGAGCTGAACATGTTTACTGAGCGCTCAGTTCACTGAATGCACCGCAATGTCTTCTACTTTTGAAGAGTAGAAGAACGTTATTAATTTTGATTTTTCCAACTTTAATTATAATTTAAAAAAAACATATAGACACATACATATGTACATATGTACATATATATGCAGATTCCAACATATGTATTTATATGTATGCTCAGAAGCGCATTCCGACTCTTCGGCCGCGTGATACAATGCAGAAAAATGGACTGCTACGCAACATTTCCACCAAATTCGAACTGACACAATGCCTAATTTATGATTATGGAAACGAGCGCGGTGGCAATCAGTAGCTAGTAGGCCTGTAACAATAACAACAACAACAACAACAACAACGACTGCTAGTTGAAATTTATGTGTGCACAGCATATGACAAACGGCTGTGGCACATTATTCTGTATGTTTATCAAAAGCGGTGACATTATTGCTATTTATTAGCTCGCAACAGGGTCGTGTTTAAAGGCTAAGCGATAACCCGTAGTAACTCCAAACACCCACACATACGACTGTGTGTGTGTGTGTGTATGTGTCGCCGTGCAAGCGACCTCCGATCAAAAGGAGCAGAGTACACGTATAGTACTTCACACCCACTCATGAAATGTGTTGTGAAATGAATATTTGGTAGCATTAGGGAATTGGCGCCGCGGCATACATATATGTACATACATAAATATATAACATATATATGTACATATTTATGCATGTAAGTATGTTCAAGCGCTTGCCTTTGCGCCTCATTTAGTTTAATTTCATTTGGTTTAGTTTTACTGACACTCAAAATTATAAAATCCATGTTTAACGCACGCATTATGTCACCGCCGCCGTCGTCGCCACCGCCGCCGTCACCGTCGCTTAAGTGCTCTCATAATGGGTTAACCAACACGTCTCATTTACGACTTTGTGCCGTGAAATGAAGGCCATTTAGCGTTGGGGAGGCAACTCCTTCGCATAAGTAGCGGTATCTTTGATTTACGACGCCCCCATTGATAGGGTTCACGGCTGCCGCACGTGGAAATATGCAATATCGGTTGGGGAAATGTAATCATGTACTTACATATGCACATACATATTTACGTATGTATGTATAATTATAGATTTTTACATTTGGCTTCTAATGCATCTTCATTGACAACATTGAACTTTTAATGATCGCGGTAATTGATCGCTCTCAAGAGAGCTCGTCAGAGATGGTATTTTAAATGAAATTGTTTTCAATTGGGATTAGTGGCGGCATTTTCAATACTCTTCAAACTCAGGCGGGACTCTGGAGCGAGTTGTGCCATGATGATTTGGATGATATTTGCAACCGCCTCTTAATGGTTGATGAGACTTGGTTTCGTCGGAATGATCCCGAGTCCAATCAGGAGTCGTTGCAGTGGATAAAGAAAAGGTAAAAGGCAACCGAAAAAAATTCATAGTGGAAAACTCGGCGTCGAATATTATGTCTACTATTTTCTGAGATACCGAGGGATTATTATTAGTTGATTATTTGCAAATGGGAACTACAATGAACGACCAGTATTAAGCTAACCCCTGCGGGTTAGGGGCTCAAGAATTTACCCGCGGTAAGGCATGTCTGTCGCAAGAGGCGACTAAAATCCAATAGTTCCCGCGACAGTCGCGTCTTTATACCGGAACGACCCGGATTTTTATCCGGCCAAGGACTGTCACTCCTGCAACATTCCCCAAAATGTACTTTGGGGAATAATTTTGCGGGTACAACAACAACAACAACCAGTATTAAGCTCATTTGTTGTGTCAGCCGCGTGAGGCAGTCGTACAGAAGAAATACGGCAAATTAGCGCACGGAGTGCAGCTTCTTCAAGACAACGCTCCCACACACACCGCTCGGTTTGCGAGGGATGCCTTAAAAGCTAATGTATTTACAGAAATTTACCGTCCTACATCCTCTACAGTACGGACCCCAGTGACTTTTCCTTTTTTTCTAATTCATAAAAGAAGTTGAGGGGATGAAGATAATCAGACGACAGTGAGATAGACATAGAAAAGCGTTTTGAAGAGAAATCTGAAGAATATTTTTTTCAGTAGCATAAAGGCCACGATCTAGCTTGAGCGATTATAACCTAGTTAGCAACAGCACGTCGACCATTTGGAGAGTGGCAAGTGAAATCATGTCCTACTCCACCTCCTACTTTCCCTCACGGAGTCCAATAATGATAAGACGCCTGCAGAGTTTGGCCTTCGTTCGTCGGGAGAGAGCCTTACATTTCATTTGGCTACCGGGTCCCAAGTAGTAACTGTTGGAAAGAGTTATTCTGTATTAGATTTCCAGACTAAAACCTTTCTTGGTATTTATTTTGGTATCAAGATGGCCGACAACAGGTTCAAACTAGAGGGAAAGGTCGGCTTGATAAGTAGGTTTTAGGAGACGTGCAAAGAAGTGTGAGTAAGGTGAGGGGTCTCATTGCCTGCGGAACATGCATTGATTAAGTCAGAGTCTTGACTGGATATTTAGAAATTAAGTCGATTTTTAAATCTTAATTGTATCAGTATTATTTGGGTCTCTCAGGTCAACTCGAGCACTTCGTCTGCTAATGGTGGTGATTGGATACTCAGCAGGTCATTCACTGAAAGATAGTTCATTAAGGCGTTGATGGATCCGTTCTGTTCAATGGTTCTTGTTCACTTGTACGTTCTGATAAAAGATTTTAGCTTCTCTCTTTAGTCTTAGAGCTCTTATTATTTTCTCCAATATCCAAGTACGGAGTCATCTTGTCTAAAGCCTACGTTAGTAACGAACGGGTCGGAGAGGTCCTTTCAGTTACTGACGTAGTTATTGCTCAGCGTTAATTTGCACAACTGTATAAGTTTTGCTGGAATACTAAATTCAGAATTAGCGGTGCAAGGAAGACTTTTTTCGTACTGACGAAGGCTGTTTCAAAATCGACAAAGATATAGTATGTGTCGATTCGTTTTCACGGTTCTTTTCCAACTCTCGGAGGAAAATGTGCTCAATTATAGATTTGCCAGCTCTGAAGTCAAGATAGAATCTTAAAAGAATTTATACGCAATATTGAGGAGACTTATCTCACGTGAATCGATCCAAACTGCGTTCGGGTTCACTATCTCTGGGGGTTTCACTTTCGTTGTCGCTCAGCAGGGTGGATGAAAAGCCAATGCCCGCCGGTGGAAGCAGAGGAAGAGTGAGACTTCCACACAAAAGGGAAAAGGAGCGACTAACAAACTGTTGTTGTACAACAAAATACCTCGGATGAGAGACCCCCGCCTTAAATCAATTTCTGCCAAAAATGCTGCAACCGGAATGCAGATGAAAAGCGTCAAATAATAAAAGTTAAATAAATAGACACAGTTACAGTTATATATGTAAGTACAATATATATGAATAAATTGATATGCACACGTGTACATATGTAAGTATGTATATA